TTTTAAGTATACATTATTTAATTGTTTCAAAGATGTGATGTTAATTAGATTTTAGTTAGATTCAACAGTTTTCTTTTGTATAGCCCCTTTGGAAGCTTACATCTGGGAGGGGTAAAAAACATCAACTAAACCTTCACCCTGGCAAAGGTGTACAAAATGTTATGATATAATTGTTTTGTTTCTCAAATAAAATCTTTGTGCCTCGCCCTACCCTATACTAATTTTGAACGGGAATCAGAACTTAAAAGTTCTTAAAAGCTGTTGTGATAATACTTTAAAATTAAGTGGCTTTTTGGGAGGTATCCCACAGGTTGACTTCAATATTTTTTTATTATTAGAATTTCTCTAATTCTGCTGAGTTTTAATTTGAGGCAGCATTATCGGGAAAGGGCTATTATCATACAGAAACTTAGTTAGTTTGTCGTTACTACTTGCTCCGGTAGATGTTACAACTAGCCCCAAATTCTAAGTAAGTTGTAACATCGCACTTTTTTGTGAATATTCTTTTACTTGATTCGGTAGAGGAATAGTTACTACAACTAGCCATCTCTATTTCGTAGAAATATGATATGATCAGTAGTTAATAGGATAGATTAGGGCTTAAAGTTCTGAAGGTAAAAAGGTTCACCAGTTCACCACCACTACCTCAAAAACCTATACCTATGGTATTTTTTAACGATACTATTGATAATTGATATTTTATTTGTAAATTTGGATGTAAATAACAAATTTAATATAATTTTCATGAAATTGAATCATTTTAGTAAATTGCCCAAAAAATATATTATCTTATCTAAATAATATATTTGAACTAAAAAATATGTTTGTATCTTTTCTATTACACCTTATATATTTTAACAGTAACCATTTCACACAAAACCACCATTGCCAAGTATTTTTCAAGCATAATAAATAATCGATTACTTAAAATTTCCATAAATATAAAATACAATTTCCAAATTTTATTTAAATGTTGTGAAACATTTTATCAACCCTCGATTTTTCAAAGCACGTAAGTCTGGTGATGGATAATAGTTTGTTTGAAAAGGGATCGTATTGCAGGGCTGTTATGATATAGGGTTATTGAACAAATTTAATCATCTTTATCGATTAGCAAGTAAACGTCAAGGTTCTACGCCTTCTGACAAAGATTTCTTGTGATGAAAGCACTTTACTTTTATAGCGAGCAATGGATGCAGTAATTACTTTCAGCACTTCATAGTAATTTGGAGGGAATTTCTTCGAGTAATGTTTTGGTGACAAAATTTTTGTAACAAAATTGGATCTTATATTTTTATAAAAACCGAATTTTTCCACGAAAATTTGTTTACACATTGTTTTTTAAACTGTTATTAAAGTTTAGAGACCTTTAAAATTTTACAAGGTTCACAATGCATATAATTGTAATGTACTTAATACTTAACATAAAATTACTTAAGATAAAATGCATCTCAAAAAGTGTTCGTTTTTTTTAAGTAATTCATAAACAATTAGTCAATACTTTTAAATTACCGTTTTTTATTAAATAAATATTATTTGTGCATCAGTTATATTAATTAACTTCCCGTAGGAGTGGGCCAAAAATCGAAAATGAAAATTTTTGCATATCTTCACGTTTTGAAGGTTTCTGAACATTTTGGGTGTATGCATGTTAAGATACAATTTTTTGTCCACGTTTTCGGGCGCACGATTTAAATGGTTGAAAAAAAACATTTGAATCCTATTAATAGGAAGATGTGGTGATTAGTTTTTGGCAAAGGCAGGTCTAGCCGTTACGGAGATACGGAGCGAAGAGTGCAGAAAATAGAAATCGAGTTTCTAAGACAACGGAGCATCCGATTTGACTGATACAAAAAACATTCAATTCGTAATGATAGGGAGAAGTGGTGATTAGATTTTGGCAAAGGCAGGTCAAGCCGTTTCGGTGTTACGGAGCTAAATATGCGAAAAATGGCAGTTTTCAATGATTCAAAAAACTGCTTGTGTTGACGAAACGATTGCTTTTGGAGATTTTTTTTTTCATCATTTTTTTAATTTCCAAAAAATATTTTTTAACTAAATTTTATTCTTGAATATTTCATTATGGTAGCTATTTGTCTTAAGGCACGATGCCACACACCACTAGTTATTAATTTTATTTATTATGTAACGATTTATAACATGACTAATATTTTATTTGAATTCGGGAATCTGGAAGCCTATTTATGTGTTTATTTTTACTTTTAATATAACTCTTTATTATTGGACTTTATGGATTTTTTTTAACAACTACAATTTTTGAAGTAAAACTTTTTTAGGCGCGACTAGGGTGTAAATCCGTACAAATGCAACGAAAGTGCGTTACGGCAGATAAGAGTCGATAAGTTAAGAGTCGAGTGCCAATGATTCGTCATTTTCTCTCGATGATATCATTTCTATACGGGTCGATTGTGATTAGTCGTCGTGTATGTGATCTATAAACCTTATACCTCATTTTCTGTCGAAAGAACTTGTAAAAAATATCTACAGTCAGGCTTTAATACTTCGTCAAATGCCACAAGTTGATATTTGAAAAAAAATGACTCATATGATTCGAAACTAATCAAACCAATTTCATTAACATTTACCAACTCATCTAAAAAATACTTCTTCAGCAGCTCTAATGTTCTCCATTTTCGTTTAACCTCACATACAGTGCATTAGGATTGGATAAGATTCTGATTATCAAAAACATTAAATCATTCAATTAATTATTCCGAGGTGAAATTCTTTATACTCATCGCCGTATTTATTTCCAATTTATGAAATGACGCAATATCAGATATAAATTTTAATGAATGTTTAAAGTCGTAATGAAGACACTGACTGCGGTATTGATTTCGCGCGGTCATTAACTTCAGTTTTGGTATTCAGAATGTTCATTAATTCGACTTCTTCAGCAACATACATCTCTTCGGCTAATATAAGGTCATTTTATTCGACTGCAGATTTAATCTACACAAAACTTCGGCCGTGCATAAATTTAATAGTGGATTTGCGAAATGAAATATTAATACTGAAATCGTGTTTATTCAAATTTTAGTACGGCGATGAGCTTCGATAAAAATTTATTCATGATATAAAAATTTTATAGCTGGATATTATGCAGGTTTATGATTTAATTTTTATTAAATTCTAAATTAATAATATATATATATATATATATATATATATATATATATATATAAATAAGAATAATATATATTATAGTAATTATCCTTTCACAGAAGTATTTGAAAATTTTTAAATTATTATACATTAATCTTAAATTTAAAAACAGGTAAAGGAACATGAATATCTTAATAATTTGCTTATATGTACGAGACATTTCAAAATTTTACATAATCACTTTGTGATACTTTTACTAATGTCAGAAACTTTGCTCTAATAAAACCTATATATGTATACAGGGTGTCCCAGACTTTGACGTAAAACCGAAACGGAATGATAGTATTGTCCTTAACTGTCGTGAAAAAAATTTAGAAAAAAAATATCTCATGTTATTTGAAATTATGAGCTTTTAAGTGCGACTTAGATCTTTGATGTAATTAAGATAATTTAAATTTAGTTGCTGTGGTTAATTTTTATTAATTTTGTTCATTTAAATTTTGGAACCGTAATCGTGAATAACATTCATTCAAAACAATAACACAATTGCACAATTTTTAAGAATTCAGACTTTTCACTGTATAGTTTACAGGATTGTAATGTGGTATACACTTGATAATTTTATTATTGCAAAATTTCTAGTAAAAAATAAAATCTATATATAAAATTTTGCACTAAAAATATCATATTTTTTGTTTTGATCATTTTGTATACTGATCGCATCTAATAATAAATAAATAAATATAGGGTAGGGCGGGGCACAAAGAAATTTGACTTTCAGTAATTACTGTCTAAACCAAAAGAACCACATGACACCACATAGGTTGTTTTCTCAAAAACGGCTGGACTGGATTTCAAAAATTTAAAAGCCAATCGATGTATTTCGATGCGGATTATCTTTTCTCAGTTTTGTGATGATCGGCCGTTTCTTTTTAATTTGGAAAAAAGTGGTAAACTTTTCGTTCACATTTATGCTCATACTACCGTATCGATTTTAAAAAGTCGAAAACTGTTTGGAAGATATTAGTTGGGAATGATACTAATTAGTTTTAGGTGAAAATCTACCGAACCATTTTCTTGTAATTAACTGCTGAAAAAAAAATTAAGTCAGATTTTTATGGAACTTTTTTGGCGATATATATCATGGTCTTATAGAACTTACTGAAATATTGCGGCCTTACTTACGACAAGTAGTTTATTTTTAAACATTTATCAAAATTTGAGAAAATGAGTAGTTTTTTGGCGTTCAAAGTTAGACGATTTACTTGGTATAACGAAAGAGTACTTAATGAACATACTAAACCTAAAATTCTACGGAAACTGGTTCAATTAGAAAAATTGTCGATTTTTGAAAATTTGCTTTCAGAAAATACTCCGAGTTAACGTGTTCGTTCGTTTTCAATTATGTGTTATAAATCCACATGGAATACTTTTAATCACTCATGAATAAATTTATTTTTTATTGATTAAGTCAATTATTTACACATATAGGGAAGTTCATGTAACTTGACTCAAGGCAAAATACCAATACCATATAGTTATATTTCGGAATTAATTGAGAATTTTACTGTACATAGTCAGATAATTGTTTGTTTGATGATATAATTGATTTGGTTTTCGCAATATAATTGTTCAAATTCGAATTAGACCTTTGTATTTTGCCCTATTAAAATTTGGTATAATTGAAGATTCTATGTACATATATAAAAATATAATTAAATAATTAATATATTTTATATACCCATATAAAGCAAATAATAGTCGCAATTCTCTCAATATTACCTTTTGCACAAAAAGAACTATAAAAATGCAAGTTCCCCATTCAACGTAAAGAATACAAGATTATTAACAGTTTTCTTCTCATTTCGTTTCAGGTCTTGGCTGGCGAGAGGCGAGCTCTGCGATGAGTTTATCGCTTTAATAAACGGCAGTCGCTCCGCACGGAGGCTGTGAGCGCCGAAATCTTAAATCTAGTTAAACGCGTGCTATATAACAACGTGCCTCTGTTAATTGTCTTATCAAATTCGAACCAGGAGATGATAACGTCTACAAGATCCTCTATTCTGGGTCGTTTGTTACCCAGAATTAGAGAAGACCTGCCAGAACGAAATTTACGCGATTTTTTGTGAAGTGAATTGGGAAGGAACAAAATTAAAACACACTTGTTACTTTGTTAAAATAGTACAAAAACATACGCTGCAATAATAATAATAATTGTGCCTAACGTTTATTACACGAAACTGTTGTTAAAACAATACAAACACACGTTACGATTTTGTGAGACGTGCGTTTGCATAAAAGTTATATTTTAGAAGTTGTGTGGGGAATTAATTCTACTTGCAAATAGATCCGACGACACTTGTACCTTCAAATATTCCAACTTGTGGAGGTGTTCAAAGTGTTAAAATATTATCGAGGAATTTTGCTGTTATCGTATCAATCTATTAATCTAATGTGTTTAAAATTTGAAGAGGAATTTTATCAATATATAATAAACGTTGTTGGATTCAAATTTAATTAATGAAGTATCAATACGAATAAAATATACAATCTTTTATTATTAAACTGTTTATAAAATATTGTGTGGGTGCAATTACTTTTTACAAGTCCAAGAATTTAACTGACTTGCTTACTTTTAGTGAAGGGGTGAAATAAAATTTACATGTGTGAACTCGGTTAGGAATGTGATTTAATCAAAACAACAATATATAAAAAATTATTAAAAAATCATTATATGAATTATCAAAACTAATTTAAAAAAGTGATAAATTTCATTTAGTGAAAAGTTGTATGTTTGGTACTCGTAAAATTGGAAAGATTAGACCAAGAGTAAACGACGCTTTAACACATGTTGGTGGCAGCGGTGAGATATTTTTATATATATTAGTAAATTATACATAAAATATTGTGGGGGTTCATTTACTTTCTAAAAGTAATAAAACGTTGAAGAATTTAACACATTTACCTGTTTTTAGTGAAGAAGTGAAATAAAATTTGTGTTCAAATGTGTGAACTTGGTTAGGAATGTGATTTAATCAAAACTACAATATATAATAAATTAATTAAAAATCATTATATGAATTATCAACACTAATTTAAAAAACTGATAAATTTCATTTAGTGAAATGTGGTATGTTTGGTACTCGTAAAATTGGAAAGACTAGACTAAAACTAAACGACGTTTCAGCACATTTTGGTGGCAGCGGTGGGATATATATTAAAATTATATTAGTAAATTATACATGAATTGTGGGGGTTCAATTACTTTCTAAAAAGTAATAAAACGTTGAAGAATTTAACACATTTAATTGTTTTTAGTGAAAAAGTGAAATGTTCAAATGTGTGAAATCGGTTAGGACTGTGATTTTATCAAAACAACAATATATAATAAACTAATTAAAAATTATTTTGTGTATTATCAATATTTACTTAAAAAAAAGATAAATTTTATTTAATGAAAAGTGGTATATTTGGTAAAATTGAAAAGATTAGACTAAGACTAACCGACGCTTCAACACATTTTGGTGGCAGCGGTGTGATATATATTATACATTAGTGACTTTATAATTCATCAATACATTTAGACTAAAGTGACACGTTCCCATTTTGTGGTTTTGTGTATATATCTTGTGCCTATATCTCTGTTGTCCAAAAATTATCTTTCATCCAAATGTGATTAATTTTATCCCCGTGCCATGATAATTCGTCTCCCGCAAACGGTCTGACGCGGTCAGTCGCGCATGATGTGCGCGATCGGAAGACGCTGGTTTCTGGTTACCGAGGAAGAAAATAGAAGATCAGTGAAGGGATGACATACGATACCGACCCACAATTTATCCGAGCCCTCGGGAAGCACCCGGATAGGCGCTCTTTGCAGGTAAATTATTTATAAGGAAAATTAATATGTGGAATAATTATGGCCATTAATTTGGAGATCATGTAGACTATTGCGTTTCATCTTGATAAGAACTCTTAAACGCTTTGATATCTGCAACGATTAGAATAATTTATTTTTATGACCCCTCAAGCTTCTTTTAATGTTATTGGTTTCCACTTCCAAATATAAACAAATTCCTTGATAATATAAGAAGCTCGCTGCTTTTCATGCTATGATATGTGAATAAACAAGTGTTTCATACAAGTATTGAAATTCATTAAAATATTATTCTATATAATTATTAGATATTTTCATTGAAGATGGCTGACCTATTTATCATTGCACATTCATTTTAAATTTGCCATTAATTAGGTAAAATTGTAAATTGTGGTCTCTGACAAGAGAGAAATGTTTGTCCATAGTCCCTCTTTACTGAAAGGAGAGAAACCACCGATTACAATATTAATTTACTATTTCTATTTGATATTTGTTCCACCAAAATTTTCATCATTTATTATTATCATTTTTATCATTTATTATTAAATTTTGCGATTAGGTTTATTTTTTATTTTATTTTATTTTACTACATTTGTTACAACTGCTAAATAATTTAACATCTAGTAACAATAATGAACAATAACATAAATTTAAATAGAAAGAGTACAAAATAAAGGATAGAACTTCCATTCAAATGATATCCGTAGTATGTTGATTTAATATAAAATAAAAGCAAATAATAATAATAATAAAATTAATAAATAATAAAATCAAAAAATAAAATTTTTGAATAATAAAAATAATACTAGAAAAACAATAAAGTAGAATAAAAACAATAAGTGACAGATAATAATAAATATAACAAAGTAACAATATTAGAAATAATAAGATTATAATAATAATAATAATAATAATAATAATAATAATAATAATAATAATATAATGATAATAATAATAATAATAATATTAATATCAATTTATTTATTAGGTTTATTTTTAATTAAGTTTTATAATATTATATTTATCATAAATTTTTTATCCGAAACTTAAAACTTGTTGGGATATATATTTAATTTTACAAATATGACGGGTGAGATTAAACTGCTTATTTAATGTCAATTTATAGAGATCTGTAATATAATATAAAATTACCATTAAGACCAAAAAAGAATTATCAAATTAGAGCCATAGATTTAATTGTTTTTTTTTTCGTATTAGTTTAGTTCACAAAAATTACTATAATATCTTTTGTTTTTTGAGTACTTATAAGACAATGATATAAGAATCATCTTAGGATATCTAATATTGAAATTATCAGAAATATTTCACTTATTATATATAATTTGTAGGAAAGTGGTTTCTATTTCACAAAATGTGAAGTGAATACCAATCATGTCAAATAAATGTAGATACGCCGGTCTCGTTTAAATATTGAATATAATATCAATAATGATAATTTTACAATTATAGATGAAATATTATATTATTTTTTTCAGATTTTGCATATAATTAGGCTTTATTCAATAAAATTTTTAATTTTGTAGACATTTTTATAATTTTATCATCTTTATTATTTAGATTTTGAAAGGTTTGGTAATCTTAAAATTTGAAATTTCATATAGCTCAAATTTTCATTGAATGAAGTTTTTTCAAGAAACCTAGTATTTTTTCCAAGAAACAAGTACTTATTAAAGTTATTAAAGTAAAGAAATTATTTTAAAATCTTTTGATATTTGATATAATATTATAATTACCTCCGTTATTTGAATATAATTATATTATTAATATAATTATATAATAATAATATAATGATAATAATCAGTAAAATAACATAAAGTTGTAATAATAAAAATTTAAATAAAGAATTTTCCATAAAAAATATTTCTAAAAATATGAATCGAGTTTCTGTATCAATAGGGGTAATATTGTCTGTTTTTGTTTCTTGAAAAAATAGACTTTAGTTAATGAAAATTTGAATTTTTCAATTATTTTTTTTATTTTTTTAATAAGATATATCGATATAATTTTATCGACTCCGATTTTCACAAGTTTGTGAATCTTGAAATTTAAAATTTTAGATAAGCACAACTTCATACTGTAAGCAAAATTTTAAAATCCTATTAAGGTGTCAGATATAATATTGAAATTATCAAAGCGATTTAACTAAGTAATAAAAAAATCATAATTGAAAACAAATTGAATATTTTGCCGAAAATATCTCTGTATGGATACCAATTGACAAAAATGGTTATATGATATGTATGCAAATTGCAAATATTGCAAATTTCAAAAAAATATTATCTTTTCTTGTTTTGTGAGAAAATAGACTTTATTCAGTGAAATTTGTTTCTTTAATTAATTGTTTATTAAAATTACACAATTTAGTTTTTTTTAGAAACAATTAATAACACGACTCTCATAATTCCCACGATTTCTGCAGTCAAATCAAATTAAACTTATAATTAACTAGTAGCATCTTCCATCAATTTTTGTCAACGAGTCTGTGCTATTAAAATAATATAATAATGTGAATTTTAAGATTTTACATATTCAGTGAAATAATATTACTACCCTACATCAACAGTATGTAAATAGTCATCGTTAATGTAAATATTTCGCGTGTACGATAAGGGAAATCTCGAAGTACAAGACCGAATTGGGGTTGAAATATCCCTTCTCATGGGAGTGCTGGTTTCCAAAGATTATACGATCGATGTGATCCAAACCAAATTGAAGGTCCATAAAATCTACTCATAGGTGTAACTGTTTTATAGCACCTCTATAAAATTCAACGCAACTGGCGTCGACGCGCATTTAAATTTTCTAACGAAAGCGGAATTAATGACTCCCTTCAGAACGAAATTGTCTAGCCTAGTTTCAGCTACTATTTGTGACAAACCGATATAATTTTAAGATACACATACAATGAAAGATCTTTATTCACTCGACACAACGACTAATCACAATCGACCCGTATAGATATGATTTCGTCGACAGCGAATGACGAACAGTTTGGGCGTAACGCAACTTCCGTTGCATATTCACAGATTTACTTCCTAGTAGCGTCTAAGGAAGTTCTACTTTAAAAATTAGAAACTAATCGAAAGATATTGGTTGGGAATCACGTTGATTAGTTTTTGGTAACTAAATAATGGTTTAATTTTGACGAAGTCTAAAATAACATACTAAATTATTATAGGCCTACGATAAGCGGTTGAATTATAAAAAATCATTGAAGTTTATAATTTTCGACGTTCAAGTTTTGTAGGTAGCTACGGATTACAGTTGACGTCTACACTTATTATTATTCATGTTTATTTGTGTGATTTGTCATAAGTGATGTTGAAAAATATATATTATACCACTGTGCACATAGTCATACCATTGGGTAGTAATGTTTTTATCTATTATATAACGATATCAAATAGTAAGTGTTTTTTATAATTATCATTGTTTTTCTTTAAAATCTCTTACATTTGTCTCAATTTTTATAGTTATATTAATTGCCACTGAATGAAGGCTAAGATGCTAGCCGAAACGTATGAATTTTACATAAATTTCTAAAAACTTTCATACT